TGTGTGACTGTGTGTGTGTCTATGTAATAGTAACAGAACCTCATTGGAAAATTAGCTGATTTAACTTTACTGTGCTCTTGTTCAAATATATTAACTCAACAGCACATAAATCCATACCTGTTAACAAAATCATAATTTTATTGATAATTCGGCTCAATAAAAACAGACTACAGAAGTGGAGAAACGCCCCCGCTTAAGTTTGTGTTTTCTCAGGAGTTACAACAACTCTGAATATAGTACTATGTCTGTGACCCTATATGTCCTGTTGATGAAGTTAGGTGCTGTTCTGAGCATTATTTGTGGCTATAGAGTGGCGTTTTGGTTGAGGGCGTGGCTCTCTGTATTTCTATCCTGCGGTCGTTACTAAAGTTGGTATAACTAGAGAAGGAAGCGGTCGACAACATTCATCTCTGGAGGCGGGGTCTAACTCGGACAGTAGAAATACGACAGAGAAAAGTCTGTCTGTGAGGACGACATGAAGACGTCATGAGGAGACGTGTTTATTTTAGTTTGTTATTGGAGCAGAGAGAGAACAGAGACACGGGCGTAAACATGAAAATATCTCTGGGGTCTGTGTCTCTAAGGGTCCGTGTCTCTAAGGGTCCGTGTCTCTAAGGGTCCGTGTCTCTAAGGGTCCGTCTCTCTAAGGGTCCGTGTCTCTCTGTGATCCGTGTCTCTAAGGGTCCGTGTCTCTGGGGTCTGAGTCTCTCTGGGGTCCATGTCTCTAAGGGTCCGTGTCTCTAAGGGTCCGTGTCTCTAAGGGTCCGAGTCTCTCTGGGGTCCATGTCTCTAAGGGTCCGTGTCTCTCTGTGGTCCGTGTCTCTCTGGGGTCCATGTCTCTAAGGGTCCGTGTCTCTAAGGGTCCGTCTCTCTAAGGGTCCGTGTCTCTGTGGGGTCCAAGTCTCTAAGGGTCCGTGTCTCTAAGGGTCCGAGTCTCTCTAAGGGTCCGTGTCTCTCTGGGGTCCGTGTCTCTAAGGGTCCGAGTCTCTCTAAGGGTCCGTGTCTCTCTGGGGTCCGTGTCTCTCTGGGGTCCATGTCTCTAAGGGTCCGTGTCTCTAAGGGTCCGTCTCTCTAAGGGTCCGTGTCTCTGTGGGGTCCAAGTCTCTAAGGGTCCGTGTCTCTAAGGGTCCGTCTCTCTAAGGGTCCGGGTCTCTCTGGGGTCCGAGTCTCTCTGGGGGTCCGTGTCTCTGGGGTCCGTGTCTCTGTGGGGTCCAAGTCTCTAAGGGTCCGTGTCTCTAAGGGTCCGTCTCTCTAAGGGTCCGGGTCTCTCTGGGGTCCGAGTCTCTCTGGGGGTCCGTGTCTCTCTGGGGTCCGTGTCTCTGGGGTCCATGTCTCTCTGGGGTCCGTGTCTCTCTGGGGTCCGTGTCTCTCTGGGGTCCGGGTCTCTCTGGGGTCCGTGTCTCTCTGGGGTCCGGGTCTCTCTGCAGGTCCGGGTCTCTCTGCAGGTCTCAGGTCCTGCGTGTGAAGTGCTGCGAGTCCCTGAACTCCAGGTACAGACTGAAGAGCAGGTGCAGAGACTGGATCCTGGAGCCGTGGACGGGGATGTCCAGCAGGCCGCAGATGATGTCGGCGTACTGGGCGGCGCCGCACTGGAGGCGGGCGGGGGGGAGCGTCAGGCGGCCCAGCAGCTCCTCCAGCTCGGCCGGCCACTCCTGCATCAGGCTGTCGATGTCGGGCATCGCTCGGCCGTACTGAACGCTGGCCGGCGGTTTGGAGCGGTGCAGGGCGCTGATGCTGTCCACCCAACCGTCCACCAGCCGAGGGTTGGACTGAGGGCTCGCCACGCTGGTCACCTTCTTCATCTGCGGGAGAGGAGGGGGGAGATCAGAAACCGTACAGACGCGCTGTGATGCTGCGTTTAGACGGCGGCGGCGGCGGCGGCGGTACTGACCTCCGGCGCCCCGTGCTGCTTGCTCTCCTCGGACAGCCACAGCGACAGAACCGTGGGCTCCGACTGCTTCACGCTGGGCTCGTCCAGAACCAGCAGACCCAGACTGTCCTCTTTACCGTCCGGCCTCGGAACCTGAACACGTCACAGGAAATGACCTCACAGGTGATCACCGCCATTTTTCAGACACACACACAAACAGGAAGTGAGGTCAGTACCTTCAGGAAGGCGTCGATGTCTCCCACGGCGGGGATGAAGTCTGGGATGAACGGCTTCAGGCTGTGCTCCAGCTCCACGGTCTGGGGGGTGTACCTGTGGGGGCGGGGTTAAGAACAGACCGTGTTACCTGTCAGGTCGGCGTAGAGAAGGTGAAGGTCGGCATGGACGCCGTCTCACCGTGTGATGTACTTGAACAGCTCCTTGATGTCGCTGCTGACGGGCAGGTTGGCGTAGTCTGCGGGGTCGTACGCCCCCTCTGGAGCCCCGCTGGCGTCGTCATCGTCATCTTCGTCATCCTCGGAGTCGTCCTCCTCTTCATCAGACTCCTCCTCTTCCTCCTCCTCCTCCTCCTCCTCCTGCTGCGGACTGACCCTGGGCTCCCTCCCCGCCGCCTCGCCGCCCTTCAGAGGTTTGTGGTCGTCCTCTGACTGGTCGGCGTTGCTGTTGGCGGACATTAGGCCACGCCCCCTCCTGCTCCTCCTGGACTCTGACTGGAAGACAGAGTCAGTGATGTCAGAGGAGGCGAGAGTCGACGCCGTAACCTCGAGAAACACACCTCACCTGTGTGTGTGTGTGTGTGTGTGAGTCTGTGTGTGACAGGTGTGTGTGTGTGTGTGTGTGTGTGTGAGTCTGTGTGTGTGTGTGTGTGTGTGTGTGTGACAGCTTCACCTGTGTGTGTCCGCTGGGCGCGGGGCTGTAGACGGAAGTGACGTCCTCGGGGTCATTGACCTCCAGACTCTCGTCGTAAGGTTGGTTCTTGAGGAGGGTGGACCCCCGCTCCATGACCGGAACTAACCTGCAGACAGTTACGGTTATTTCCGGTCAAAAGAGCTCAGTTTAAACAGCTAACTTAGCACCGACCTGCTAACGACGAACCGAACCACCGGAACTGTAGACCCGGACACTGAGCGGGGACTCCCGGGCCGTCAGACGGACTTTAATCCGGTTCTTTAAAGACTCTGAGTTCCTGTTTTTAACCTTTAAATTCGGTTTAACGTTAATTTATTCAGACAGAGAAGCTAACAGCCGAACACTGAGCGACATTTACTGTAGCCTAGCAACGGGCTGAGCGGTGCATCATGGGTAGATGTTCTTCTTCTTCAATAGAGTTTAATGGCGGTTGGCAAACGAAGTTAAAGGTGAATTACCGCCAACTACTGGACTGGAGTGAGGGACAGGAAATGGACAGACCAAATAAAATAAAATAAAATAAAATAAAATAAAATAAAATAAAATAAAATGAAAATAAAATAAAATAAAATAAAAATAAATAAATAAAACAAACTAAAATTAAAAAAAATTAAAACCAAAATAAGTAAATCAGTTCCTCTCCATTAACTCTGTATTTTCCAAATATTCCATTAAATGTTTGAGGATTATTTCTATCATTTCTATATACAGTCTGTGATTAGATCCATGACTGTTTGTGAGAACCTTTAGATATTGATCAACCAGATTTGATCCATGGCTTTAAAAACATGTTTTGGTTCTGGAAACTTCTTTTATTAATTATTTTATTTATTAAAAAAACAGTCACTGTTTCTCTGATTCTTTGCAGTAGGCTTCCGTAGCTTTCTGTGTGGGTTTAATCGATTATTTTAAATCGATTATTGATTTTAAATCGCCTCATTAGTTCACTTACAAACATGAACTCGTCCCAGACTCCTCTTCCCAGAATGCACCGCACTGTTATTGTTCCGTCTGGCTGTCTAATATGGCGGCTCCGGGCTGCCTCCTCCACAGAACCCTGATCCGGTCCAGATCCGGTCCAAACCAGGTCCTAACCAAATCATTATAACGATGCTGTTACTGTTTATATACGTGCGTGTGAGCGTGCGTGTGCGTGATGTTTGTGTGTGGCCCGTTAAAGCGGGAAAAACCTCTTTCTCTACCGGACTGAACCTCACTCAGAATCCGTCTTATTATTTTCAGATTTAATATGTCTTTGTTTAGAAGCTACATTTTGGCTTAAACACACCATGGATGTGAAGTACGGTCCAATTAGGAGGGTTCGGCATACTTTCATGGTCCAGTTTCCCTTTGTTTTAACAATTAATGATTTAGATTCACAGCATTTGAACCACCAGCATCAGCGTCCCGATCCCACCTCTATCTAAAAAACAAACTTTTCTAAATTCAGTATCTCAAATGAGAATGTTTCGTGAGGGTCTGTGAGAGAGGAAAAATCATCCACGAGACCCGAAAGAGCGACAAATACGCCTCTTGGCGCGTTTTTTCGTCGAGATCTTGATGAACCTTAAATTAGATATTTTTTAAATGGAGTTTGGTTAACAGGCGTGGAGGGGGCGTGGAGTCTCATGCTTTTCTCTCCTGATGCGAAGCCTAATTTCAGATAAAGTTTAATGTATTTGACTAAAATCTAAAAGGTCAGAATGTGAAGATTGTAATCTGTCCCCCATGAGTTCACTTTGTCAGTTATAAAGTTAATAATTTAATAATTCTGCCTGAAGACCTCAGATGACCTCAGAACCGTCGCTAATATCAGCAGAAGAAGAAGACAGTCTGACCTCTACATCTGTTCATGTTGTCTTTCTTACTCTCTGTTTCTGTCTTCTGTCCTTGGAGATTAACCTCAGCCCTGGGTGTTGTCTTGCAGGTGTCTGTGTCCTCTCCAGCTGTCTGCAGGGAGACTCTGTATGTGGTGGACGTCCAACGTTACAGCAGAGACCAGGGGTCCTCGGTCTACTTTCCTCAGGCTGTCCTTTACGGTAAGATACGTCAGGACAGGAGGAATAAAACAGGACGGACCAGTTGTCCTGGGGAAATGATAGAAGACGGACAGGACAGGAGAGGACAAAGACAGAGAGAAGGGTTAACTACATCAGAAAATGGACAGACGAGAGAAACATGGACAAAAGACTGAGCAGGACAA